CTTATTATTCTTGTCTTGTAGACGGAGTCATGGCGTGCCGCCAAGAGCGGATGGATGGCAGTCTGCTGCTTGGTTTGATCGTTTGCAGTCTACACCTCCCTTTCACCCCTGGTAGAAGACTATGTAAATAGTAAATAGCCAGCTGGCACACTGCATTCTGTTCCCTCTTGCAATCCCTCTTTTCCTACCACGTCCCCTCCGCTACGCCTGTCTTCCACGCCTCTTTACCGTGCCTCTTCACCATTGAAAAAGGGCGCCCCCAAGCAACTCAAAGCTGACCCACTCCATTCTGTTCCCTCTCCTCCCCTCCACAGATCATAAGACTATTCAATAGCAAGCTTGCCCACTGCATTCTGTTCCCTCTCCTGTCCCAAAACGGGTCACATAATTTCTTGCAACCCCTCTTCTTCTACCACGTCCCCCGGCTATGCCTGTCTTCCCCGTGAACTCCCACCGCATATGGGATGCCCTTTCGCGTCTGGTTACTATGCCTCTTCACCATTGAAAAAGAGCACCCCCGAGCAACTCAAAGCTGACCCACTGCATTCTGTTCCCTCTCCTGCCCTCAACGGATCACATCATTTCTTGCCACAAGACAGCCGTGCGTTGGGAGACGCACTCCTTTTATTTTTGGTCGAAGACTATTCAAAGAGCCTCCAGACACGCACATCTCCCTTTCCTAGAGGAGCTCCAACCACTTTTCGCGTCCCGTTGTCCCCCGTTTCCTGCCATCGACATGAACTCCCACCGTCAATTACATCACTCGCATCACAACACCCCCCAAACCATACATGTTCACTCCCTTTCGGACGCACAATTTTTTCGCTCTCCCCCACCAGTCTCTGGGCTCGCCCTACCAGATTGACCTCTGTGCGACCGCTCCCCCACACCCCCTAATACTCACTTCGTTCGCCCATCGACAACTCCGGACAAGCCTATCGGCTGGCTTTCGTAATTTAGTATAATAGCAGCGCCCCAATCAATGAGGCTTTGTGGCTTCGTATCCAGACTCAGAATTGATGTTCTGCACGGATCAACTGCTGACCAACTAAGAACGCGACATCTTCAAGATTCTGTAGGCAAAGCTGCCTAAAGCAGCCAGCTCAATACGAGTTCTCCGGATTCATCAGCTGGACATGAAAAACAGATTCAGCCCATCGATCAACAACTCTGCCTTTTTGGACATGAACTTCAGCTTCCCACCTTTGCAACTCCACCAGGCGCTGATACTCTGGCAGCTCTGAGAAGCCGTACTGTAGAGCCTCAAGTCATGGAGTCACTGGGACTCTCAAGACCTACTGGGGCTGAAGATGCTGAAGTAAGCCGTGGGCAAGGTAAACCTCCATTTTCCATCACTAAGCTGTGGGCAACAAAAACACATGATTCTGGTCACACTCACAACTATTAGACAACCAGTAACCAGTTCCAAACACCAATTGGCCCCACATGTCTAGACTCGCCTGCAACGTTTCTTGGGGTCTCAGATGGTCAGGCCTCAGCGCAGGCCTGCCGCACCTGCCGACGGCTTCCGCTGTGTGTAGCGCGTTGCAATGATTGGCCTGGCGGGACTCTGAAGACTCAAAAGAGGAACAATGGCCTGGCTATGGGGTAGAGCTCCGAGTCAATTTCGCAAATTCACAGCAGGTCAAAACTATCACATGTTTCCACATAATCCTCTGAACGTCATAGCACGATCTTACTTCCCAAGCACACAAATGAATCATTAAAGTGACGGTGCATGCGATAACACATGGCAGCTCTTCGCACACCCTTCTTGAGTGCTGCCTCGCAAATCATCCACTGTCGCAGTGTCAGGGAAGTGTCAGGGAAGTTGCATGTTCCCCAGTGTTACTAGTAGCTTCTAGCTACTAGTAATGCCAGGAGCTACTAGTAGCTTCGTTGCTCCTAGTAGCGATGCCCTTTGCTCCCAGTCGCGATGCCCTGCGTGAAGAGAAGACGTTGGCCCCTTCCCAGGTCGCCCCTTCGGTCGCCTCTGCTTCGCCAAACTCAGGCCTTGAACGCAACGACAGTCCTCGGACGTAGCGCGAGGTCTCCATGACACTCCTAGTAGCGATGCCTTTTGTTCCTGCTCCTAAAAGGTTTTTTAATGGCTTCAGCGATTCACCTGGCAAGACATGAATGAAACCGTTGCATATCACATCGAGTTTCAGTCTGGAATGGTGTGTCAGTCTTGTACTAATCTGACTAATCTAGTGAAAATTTGACCCCGCCCCATTTGATCAAAAACTCTTCAACCTTGGATTGGGTCAGAAGTGCACCGAGCAGTCCTGCTTGCGATGAGTGGCCTGCCTTTCAGCCAGGCAGACATGCTGAGGTACCGAAGCCAACTCACAAAGCTCTTGTGGCCCTTGCAAACATTTGCAAACCCCCTCAATGTGCCTGCAACAGTCCATGCAGTGTCTCTAAGTCACCCCGTGCCGCTGCATCTGCCAGCTGCCTGGCCGGAAATGTGGAAACCTTCCACTCTCAGGTCACTCACCTAAAAACAATGGCCTCCAACCTAGTAACAGATTACACATGTTTATTGCCAGAGAACACGCTCGAAACAAGAGACTGTTGGCTGGGCGTTTGTCTGACAACTCACACTCAATTACTATGAGAAGGTGCAGCAGTTGGCCAACACTGCGCGATATTTCACGATTTTCAAGATTGCCAATCTATGCCTCAGTTGTGCACCCACAGACTTCTGTGGTTGTGAATTGCAAAAGTCGTGTGGCTGTGTGGCTATGGATCGCAACCAAATGAGCTTGTGGCTTCGACTTACAAAGTAAGCATGATTTGATAACACACTTGGTTTACTTGTTTAACAAATGCTTTAAAGTCATGCAAAACATGCAAACAAAACCGGTGGCATGTCTTAGATCCAAAGCGGTGCCATCAAGCGGCTTCTAGCCTGGCCATTTGCTCCACACGCTTCTCCTCCATGACTTGCTGTAGAGTCTCAAGGGCTTCCTTGTAGAGCCTGGTGAACTCCCTCTGTATATACAAAATTATATAAATAAACAAAGCTTTGCAAGCATTGCAGACCACACATAATTTCACATACATACATGCATTACCATACCGTTACATTAGTCCCGAGTACCTATTAAAAAATCATTAAAAAACGGACCCCTATAAAACAAAAGTCATGTCGGAAACCCCTAAATACGGTTTATATTTGTTTTTAAATTACCGCCCTTTCAAGCCGCTACTGAGCTACCAACATTGCCGACTTTGGAGGAGTTTTTTTAATTAGGTTCCAAAAACAACCGTAACTGCCCACCTCTGTCCGCCCTGTCTATCCACCATGACACGCCGCGCTTACACCAGCAGGCTTTCCTTCCCCCAATGGCACGGACTCACGCAAACGCACTTGCCACCGAGGTCATGCAACACCGCATGGCACAGCGACATCACCTTTCGAAAGCTTTAGCTGTTAGTCTACTGAAGAATCCCTATTCTAATGAAGGTTTTTGTAGGGGAAAAGGAAGACCCTTCGATCTGGAGCTTTTTTGCATTTTTGATACGAGTTTAATAAAGGATTTTATACAACATTTTACTGATTTACTTTTGGGTTTTGAAGCTCTTCCCAGGTGACCTATTTTGGACCCCCCGATTTCAGGGACCCCCTATTAAAAAAAATGCGACCGAGGTTTCCTTTTTAGGGGGGGGGGGGGCCGTGTTTTTTATTAGGTGGACCGGATTACATTACCACACCATTACATGCAAGTACTGTACGTCCTTTTGCATGGAAACATTCACCTCATACATATTACGATCACCAAATCAACATATATTGCACATTATTTCACACATTCCTCTGCTCAGCACTTGGTTTGATATCCAACGAAGCAATACGACCAGGGTCAAATCATATCAAATCATTTTTTCGGAGCACGTGCCTTGAACCTCGATGGTCGTACTGGTGGGCGCTGAGAATGGCCTGAACAAAGCTGTTTTCGTGCGCCGAATCATCCCAAATTGACGGAAATTAACAGTCTGACACACACACACAGTAACTTTTTGTCCATACTTATGCGTGTTACCAGCGTGTTGCACCCCTTTTTCCACATCGCTCTCTGTTGAGGTTGAACCAACAAACTGCTTACGCCCAACTGTCCTTCGGGACATCCACGGAGCTCTACGCATGGGATGTCGTCGGAGCCTCCCCAGCTCCAACTCAAGCAGTTCAAAGACTTCAAAAGCGCTTGGCTACGACGATGTCGTGGTCCAGCAATCACAGCATCTATGACACATGTGCATTCCACTAGCAGAAGCTTGCAATGTTCTTCTTTGGAGTAAGGAGTGGTGTCAGTTCATTCCCCGAAGTGTCACTAGGTGTCACTTCCCTGGCTTCCAGCCATCGAAAGGATTTGAGGGATGTGTAAAGAATGCTGAGATCTGTGATTCGATGTCAGTCTTGTCAGTCTTTCCAGCATAGATGCTGCTGGGAGCTGCCTATAAACTCTGCACAACCTCGCTTGTCCTTGGCCGCTTGGGTCTTCAAGTCGGCCTTGACCAAACGTCGCAAGCGAGAGGTGAAAGTGGCCTCAAGACCTGGATGTCGTGGGAAGGGACTTCGCAACACCCACGGCACCCACTTTGCAGCAAGATCCAGGATTACCGAGACTGATCTGTTGACTCTAATAGGTCGGCTGATCAAAAGAACAAAACTCGTGCACTGATCCTCGGCCATCCTCATGACACCTATGCTGCATTCCCAGCACCATGTAGATTCTTCATCTCTAGTCGTTCTGTCAGCCAATCGGTTCTATATATATTTAAAATATATACGTACATACACAAAACACACATATACTTATTGAATCTGTCTGGTGCCAGCATGCCAAAAGCCAGCCTCAAGGCTCACGTTGAAACCACATGTGAAAGAACCGGCACACGAACGAAAACATGTTCAAAAACGAGTCATGATTCGATCTCAGACAAAATATGAATAAATACATGTAGTCTCTTGGACAGCCTTGGGGCAGTCAAAATTAGCTGGAAAACATTCGATGGAAGATGCCCTTCAGCTTGTCGCGCTTTCGAAGTCTGGGCTCTGAGCCATCCTCCCTGAGCGCTGTTGATCCGACAGGTCCCTCGAGTTGGGACCAACATGGGCGAACTAGGATCACTATGCAGTTAACAGCCAGCCCCTAACATATTGACATATTGGAGACTGTTGATAAGTCTTTTCTTATGTTTGTCAAAACATGTTTAAGCATGTTTGGGGCCTGGCCCTGGCTCCAAAAGGATCTAAATCATCTCTCTGGCTTCCCCAACCGAAAGTTCCGACCTTGCCGACCATGTGCCGTGCCTGTGTCTGCAAATGATTTCCCGGGAGATGGCCCGCTCCGCGGCCTCCAAGGTATCATCTGCCGCGTTCCCATCTTTGAGATAGCCTCAATCATGTTCGGGCAAGATTAAGATTTCTTGGCTTAAAGTGACTCAGCTCACTAGAGTCACTAGAGCAGAGAAAAGCAACAAAAGCCACAAAAGTCACATTGGCACAAAGTAGGGATATACAATGCTGGTCAATTTTGCATCGCAGGGATGTGTAGTACGGTATCATTGTTGCGCGGCGAGGTGGCTTTGCATACAAGCGTGCAAGCTCTAAGAACATAGAGATTGTGTGATGTCTATTGTGCAAAACAACAACAACAACAACAACAACAACAACTACTACTACTACTACTGCTGAAGATTGTTCCCAAAGATTGATTATTTTTCACTGATAGCACTTGTTTTCACAAGATCACTGGAAATGCCATGTTAGTAGATCCCAACAATTCAGTCTGAGGGACCTATAAATTCTTCATATGAGATCTTGCCGTCACCATTCACATCCAATTCTCTCATCACTTGTGCAACCTCTGTCTCGCTTTCTAAAATCTTGAAAAGATCTTCTCTGCGAATGTAGCCCGTGCTCTCAGTGTCGAAACGCCTGCAGGGACAAAACCCACTCTACCAAATGCAAAAACATAACATACCGTTGTCCCTATTCCCAAGCAGCCGGAGTGACCGGTCCTGAACGCATCTTTCAAAAGCTCATCATGAAGAGCAATGCGGGAAGCCATCATCGCAGCAAGAAACTCCGAGTATTGGATCTCATTGTCATCCATCGGGTGCTCTGAATCACTGAAGGCATTGAAGACGTGCTGTTGGTCTTCCTCCGGAAGATGAAAGTTGTCCTCCACAGATCAGCAGCACTGAAACGCACTTTCCTTCAGCTTGGAACAAAGCTTGATTTACAAACTAAAGTCGAACCAAAACAAAAGCGCCAAACGTGGCGCGAAGGCAGTCCTCGAGAAGAGTTTTGAGGTCTTTCATGGTGATGGTACCCGTGTTGTCTTTGTCCAGTGCCATAAAGGCGTCTCGCACTTGTGCCCTAGGGCAAAGGTGGGCATTGTGTCTCATACTCGAGCCTAATCAAATCGTTCTCTGGCTTCACAAGTGAAAGATTTGTCAGGAACATAGCAATATCCTTGGCATTATATATTATATACTGAGTAATATATTGAAAGTCTAACATGAATCTGAATCCGATATCAAAAAAGACTTCACTCACTTTGCGCTCATGCGGGAATCCCTGAAACAACATACAAAATCACCGTCCCGAAAAGATTGTCCCTTGAATCTTGAACGGTTCTTGGCATCAGTTGTAAATGTTCTTCCACAAAGGACTCGGTATCGAAAGCAATCAGGAAACATTTTACATAAACATCCACATGCGTGCTTATCCACCTGCATCTCACATACACTAACAAACACCCGCAATGTGTCCTGTCCAGGTCCATGCTCTGCATCGAGCGAACACTTCTAGGTGTAAAACCCTTTGAAACAAAGCCTTTGTACAAATACAACTGTATGACAATCTATATTTATTCATAATGATATGTATATATATATACACATAATATCACTTGTCACAGGACTGCCCCCAGCCTCTCTGGGGCAGTGAGAGACCAAGCCATCAATTTCATGCAAGACCTGACGCGAAGGAAAATGCGCTAGTAGCAAGAAGCTACTAGCAACAAAGGACATCGCTACTAGTAGCAAGAAGCTACGAGTAGCTCCTGGCATTGCTACTAGGAACAAGAAGCTAGTAGGTTGGAGGCCATCGCTATTAGGTTGGAGGTCATTCCTACTAGTAAGAAGAAGCGCGTATCAAAGTGCCCTGCAAAAGGTTTTGTCAGAAAACTGGAGTCGTCCCCTTGGCTCTGCGGCAGAAGCCACCCCTAGCCTTGCCCAATTTCTCAGTCAAGCCTTAAACACGATGCCCTCTTCTAATTGGAGACGATTGATGACCATTGGAGACCAGCAAACAACCCAATAGAACCCAATTGAACGTTTCCTTTCAATCACCTAACCTGACATGCAGCAAAGGTGACACAGTGAATACTGGGTGTGCTAGTGTGAGGCTCTGAGTCTCCGAACAAGTGGATGCAAGCAGTACATTATCAACAATGTTTTCTTTCTCAATTAATATGTTCTCAAGTCTCACTGGTCTGACTAGGTACATCATGGTACACCCAATACAGAAACTACAATCGATGGAATCAATCCTACACCGCACTCAGCGCACTCTGATTCAATGCCATGTTGGTGTGTTGGCATCGCTACTAGGAACAAGAAGCTACTAGGGGCTCCTGGCCTTACTACTAGGAGCAAGAACGCTACTAGGGGCTCCTGGCATCGCTACTAGGAACAAGAAGCTACGATTTCTTCCGTCAACTCCAACCCATCCGACCCATGCATAACAAGTATCCCTAATTAGTAGCGATGCCCTTTGCTCCTAGTAGCGTCTTTGCTCCTAGTAGTAAGGCCAGGAGCCCCTAGTATCCGCGGAAAGAAAAGGTCTACATCTGGTGACCGAGCCCAGCCTTCGAAAGCTCTGGGCCTTTGCGAAGTCACACAGCGAGGTCACCTCAAGCAGCCGAACAAGAAACTGGTTGCAAAGACTTTGGCGATGTGGGCTGTCAGCATCTGCTGAATGAGACTTCTGCATCATCTTCAGAAAGTTGCGTCAAAGCATGTGAACACATCATGAAGGCTTGCCTGCTGTGTTCCACTTACCCTGAACTCAACAACAACACCTTTTGGGGCAGGTATCCATGGCTTCATCGATGCAATCGCTGGCAAGATTTTGGTTCTTGATCCAAGGATGCTCCAGCGCTTCCGGCGCGGTCATGCGGCGATCTGGATCGACCACCAGCAAATTCTTCACAAAGTCGGAAGCTAAGGAGGACCTCAACTCAGACTGTTTGGAGATCAAGCGAGGTAACCCGTCGACATCTGATATCGAATCGCCAAATCTCCACATTTCATCATATCTTGCGGCGTTTTCAGCGGCAAAGCAGGTTACAGCTAAGTGTACCGAGGACTTTGATTGGATTGGTGGCATACATCTGAATATATCAAACTTATTCTTATTCAACTATATCAAGCATGATCAAACTCCCTGCAAAGATTGAAGCTTGAAGTATCTTGTAACAAAGAACGCAACCACAACCACAGCTAAGACTTAACATTGAACAAAAAACATGTGCATATTTAGAAGAACCTGCAACATATTGCACGTGTGTGTGTTTTCAGCACGATTGAAACCTGGTTTGCATTTGTGCAGGAAAACACATGAAGGATGAACATTGTCTGAGTGTATATATTTAAAAACAATTGTCCTTACTCAGCTAGCCTATGAAGATCTTTTGAAGACTCAAAGGCATCTAGCAAGCGTGGAAATGAACCAGCCCCGGGCCCTCCTTAATTACCACAAGTGGATCCAATTCTCTGGTGCCGGGAGACACTTTTGCCCATCTCTCTTTTTTCACGAGGTAAGTCCCTGAGCGAATCATATGAATCTGCTTTCGCTCGTCTGAGCCAGCAAAGGGCATGTACCCAACCTCCAGCGGCACAAACTTGTTCCTAGTAGCTTCTTGTTACTAGTAGCGATGGCCTCCAACCTACTTGCGATGGCCTCCACCTAATAGCGTCCTCTTTCTTTGCTCCACCTAATGGCAGCCTAATGGCGTCCTCTTTCTTTGTTCCAAACAAAATAATTAATCAAACATGAACATTGGCAAGAAAGGACATCGTCGAACAATCGGCGGTTGCTGTGCGTTTGGCTGACTTTGTGCGAGCAGCAAGTAGGATGAAGACAATGACACCAAGACTCCACAAGTCACACTGACTTGTATACGACTTGGCAAGAACCTCTGGAGCAGCATAGGACAAGGTTCCGCAGCTGAGTTCCATCCGCGTGTTCTTGGCCCAAACTTTGCTGAAGCCAAAGTCGATGAGTTTCAAGAAGTCGGAGTTCTTGTTCTCGTAAAGAAAGTTTTCGAGCTTCCTGGGGATATCCGGGAATCATCAGTGAGGTAGTGAGGTGCAAGTATCTCGTGGCGTGAATGACAATACTCACAACTTTGGCTGGGGTAGCCAGGTTTCAAATCACGGTGGACCACTCCACAGCTGTGCAAGTAGTTCACTGCAAGCAGCATCATCCGCGTGGTCTTACAAGCATCCTTCACAGATTTCGAGGTCATCCAGTCTTCTTCAAAAAGTTGTTTCTTCATGTTGTTTTTACTAGGGTTGTGCTCAGCTAGTCTGCTCCCCTCTTGACAAATGAACTGCAAGGATTTTGGTGCCCAAACAAATCGATCATTCTGCATACATCGCAGCCAAACTATGTGGGACTTTGCCCTGAGAGGAATGCTAAGATTGGGAAAAACACAACCAAAAGCCCTAGTGAGCCCCAGTGCAGTCTCTCGACAACGAATCTACGATAGATTCAATAGATTCATAGATCTAGACACCGCTTTGCTTTCTACAGAGATCAACCCAAACAGCGTTGCCCCACCCAAGGTTCACTGGTCAGTGCCAACAACGGTCCTTCTCTGAATAGACCTTCTTCTCTCGTACACGGTCAAACAGCTCGCCGCCTTCCATGCACTCCATCACAAGACTTAGTCGGTCCTCCTCCTGGTGTCTTCTGGCTGGGGACAACGACAGTGCATTCTTTAACCACTTGGTACTGGTTGGCACCCTCGCAGCTTGCAGCAAGACTCCAAAAACAAATATATATATATATAGAGAGAGAGAGAGTACGTGCTTCAGTAACATGATGTCCTCATAGACATCGAAAAGCCGCACCACATGGGGATGGTCCATGCTCAGGAAAATCTCCGCTTCTGAGGCGAGTTCCTCGCATGAACTGAATTCTGTAGCTCGGATAGGGCGGTTCATTGCAATTGACAAGCTTTCTAGCAACTGTCCTGCACCAAAACCATTGCCAAGGCAGCTTCTGAAAATGGGTATATTATATATGGTAACATGCTCTTTCAGCCAAGGGTCCTGCTTCTTCTCCTTGCTAACTCCATGAAGCTTGAAAGCCTGTGGCAGCCAAATGCTTTGGCAACTCGTCACGTGCTCAAATTTCATAAAGGTACAATGAGCAAACATGAGGACTCTTCATAGTACTATACCCTCCATGAGAACGTGCTTTCATTCATCACTAAATAGATACAGTTGTGTTAGAATCTCGGATTCTCCCGGGGCTCTTGTCTGTAGCATCTCTATATTGCATTCATTCACATTACTGTAAAGCATTTCACCCCGCCCTTTAGCAGCTAGCAGTTTGGCAACATGCAAGACTTACAAATTACAGTGCCTTCACAGCAAACTTGCCAACTCTGGTCTTTCCACGGGCTAGTAGCACTGAGCCATTGTATCCTGTACCAAGGGCCTCATCACAGCGCAAATATGTTGCATTTCAACACAACTAACTAACCTTACAGTCTGCAACCGTGAGAAGAAAATCCCAAGCACCACTGCAAGAATGAGGTTGTATAAAGCTGAGCACTCGGTTCTTTCTGTCATGTTTAGTAATTTCCACAACTGTCAGCTGGCCTTTTTTTCCACATTGTAGTCATCTTCCAGGCGCGCTGGTAGACGGTGATATCGCCCCACAACGGACAAATGCCCTACACGATCTTCAGCTCTACTCCTGACGCAAAACAAACTATCTTTTTTGTGTATGGCACCAGCATGGATGATTGGCGTTTAAAGGCTCTTGTCAACGAGGAGCAACCAGTGCTTGCAACACACATTGGGTAATGGAGGGGGAAATAGGAAAATAATCGAAAACGGTAGCTAGCATGCACTCAAAGTTTATAGTTCAATTGTTTGCTATCGTCCCTTCTGTTTTCCAAGTACTGTATGATGTTCCCTTTTTGTTGCCCTTTTTTCCTACTGGTCTACCGATCTTCTCTCGTCTCTGAAATTATTTCCTGGTATCTTTGCCCTTCTTGTGACCAACTTGTTGTTTATTCGTTCTATCTGCAAGTTCTTATCCCTTCTGTGCGTCGCATCACTCTGATATTCTCACGATCTACAGCGGTTGCTTGCTCAGGCAAACACCGCTATATTGATGAGAGTATCAGGTCGTCCGCAACCACCAACATCAAAAAATAACTCGTATAGATCTGCAAATTTTATGGGAGTTGGGAAGGATTCCAATCAAAATCGGTGTTCAGTCTCAATGTTGTTTGACAGTGGCTCAAGGAAAGGTCACGGTCACTCTTGGTTTTTGGTAGACTAAGATCCTGTAAGCAACTCAAGCACCAAATGACTGACAAATGCCAGAGTTGGTCAATTAGCGGCTAGCGAGGTCCTCACTTCATCCAAGGTGTTGGTTGATTGTAGAATGCCCATGGCGATTGAAACCCTCAGGCGTCAGCGAGACCTCTTTTGGGCCCGCAAAGTCTCTGAGAACCAGGGCGTGAAGGGAAAATTCAACGGGAGTAAAGAGTGTATACTGACATTTCACACGACCCCAAACAATTTGTACTTGTGTTAGAACTAAATAAAACAGCTGTCAATACTGCTGTCAATCCAAATGAACCTGAATTTGGATGTCTTTTCACGATTGTTCTTCGAGCTCACCACGTTGCTGCAAGATGGCAACCAACACATGTCCAATCGATTCGAACATCTGTTCCTTTCCTCAAATTGCCCCTAGATCAATGACGTATTCGAGTATATTTTTCACTCCATACCACAACCACTAGCCAACGAGCCTGCTTCAGTTCGAGTTCACTCCGACTCTGGATGGCCTCCTCCAGTTCCAAGGACACCAAGGTCCTTCACGTGGAACCGGAACCGTGAACCAAGCCGCAACGAACCGGAAGTGCCAAACACCAAGCCGAACCGGGCCCCTAACGAACCAGATTCGCATATGGTTGAAACCAAGCCGACTTTCCGGGGTCCGAGGCCGACCCAGAAACCGAGCCAAAAACGATGCCACAAACCAAGGAGCACGTGTCACAGTTTCTCTCTCCTCTCATTGTCGTCAGCCTCTTCTGCCAGAGCTGTCGGCCAGTGATCATACTCAGTGCAAATATAGAGCACTTATAGAGGTGCAATTCTATCTAGAAACAATATACCAGCGTAGACCCCAAACAGTTTGTGCGTTTATGACGTAAGCCACAATAAACCGTTCCAGCTCGCGGTGATCAACTCGGACCTTCTGGGTTTGTTTCAGCACTTGGCTCAATTGGCTCAAGGTCAGAACTGGCAATTCAAACGAAAACAGAACATACGCAAATCATGCCCCCTACCTTCTGGGTAGGGAAAAGTGGTCCCCCACCTAAACAAATACGCAAGTATTTTCCAGGTGTCCCACCCCCTCTGAAATTGCTACAGCCAGCGCTGATAGTTTGCTTGCTAAAAGGGGACCACCCCCTCGGCTTGTGAGGGCTTACGAGAGGGGACCGGTCGACTAGTTGATCACGCATTGAACTTGGAAGTTCACAAGCTATGCTTTAAACAAGATGGAACCCACGAACCCGAATGCAAACACGTTCGAAAAACTAACATGTCCAAATGACACTCTTGTAGGACACTCTTGTGGGACACTCTGGTGGGACACTCTTGTAGGACACTCTTGTAGGACACTCTTGTAGAAAACTCTTGTGGGACACTCTTGTAGGACACTCTTGTGGGACACTCTTGTAGGACACTCTTGTGGGACACTCTTGTGGGACACTCTTGTGGGACACTCTTGTAGGACACTCTTGTAGGACACTCTTGTGGGATACTCCTGTAGGACACCCTTGTAGGACACTCTAGTGGGATACTCTTGTAGGACACTCTTAAGGGACACTCTTGTGAGACACTCTAGCGGGATACTCTTGTAGGACACTCTTGTGGAACACTCTTGTGGGACACTCTTGTAGGACACTCTTGTGGGACACTCTTGTAGGACACTCTTGTGGGACACTCTTCTGGGACACTCTTGTAGGACACTCTTGTGGGACACTCTTGTGGGACACTCTTGTAGGACACTCTTGTGGGACACTCTTGTAGGACACTCTTGTGGGACACTCTAGTGGGATACTCTTGTAGGACACTCTTAAGGGACACTCTCGTGAGACACTCTAGCGGGATACTCTTGTAGGACACTCTCGTGGAACACTCTTGTGGGACACTCTTGTAGGACACTCTTGTAGGACACTCTAGTGGGATACTCTTGTAGGACACTCTTAAGGGACACTCTTGTGAGACACTCTAGCGGGATACTCTTGTAGGACACTCTTGTGGAACACTCTTGTGGGACGCTCTTGTAGGACACTCTTGTGGGACACTCTTGTAGGACACTCTTGTGGGACACTCTTCTGGGACACTCTTGTAGGACACTCTTGTGGGCCACTCTTGTGGGACACTCTTGTAGGACACTCTTGTGGGACACTCTTGTAGGACACTCTTGTGGGACACTCTTGTGAGACACTCTTGTAGAACACTCTTGTGGGACACTCTTGTAGAACACTCTTGTGGGACACTCTTGTAGGAAACTCTCGTGGGCCACTCTTGTCGGACACTCTTGTGGGACACTCTGTGGGACACTCTTGTGGGACACTCTTGTGGGACACTCTTGTAGGACACTCTTGTGGGACACTCTGGTGGGACACTCTTGTGGGACACTCTTGTAGGACACTCTTGTGGGATACTCCTGTAGGACACTCTTAAGGGCAACTCTTGTGACACACTCTAGTGGGACACTGTTGTGGGTCACTCTTGTAGGACACTCTTGTGGGACACTCTTGTAGGACACTCTTGTGGGACACTCTTGTGGGACACTCTTGTGGGTTACTCTTGTAGGAAACTCTTGTGGGACACTCTTGTAGGACACTCTTGTGGGACACTCTTGTGGGACATATAGGACACTCTTGTGGAACACTCTTGTGGGACACTCTTGTGAGACACTCTTGTCGGACACTCTTGTGGGTCACTTGCGGGACATCTTGTGGGACATTCTTGTAGGAAACTCTTGTGGGACACTCTTCTAGGACACTCTTGTGGGACACTCTTGTGGGACACTCTTGTAGGACACCCTTGTGGGATACTCTTGTGGGACACTCTTGTGTGACACTCTTGTAGGAAACTCTTGTGGGACACTCTTGTGGGACACTCTTGTGGGACACTCTTATAGGACACTCTTGTGGGACACTCTTGTGGGTCACTCTTGTAGGAAACTCTTGTGGGACACTCTTGTGGGACACTCTTGTGGGACACTCTGTGGGACACTCTTGTGGGACACTCTTGTGGGACACTCTTGTGGGATACTCTTGTGGGACACTCTTGTGGGACACTCTTGTGGGACACTCTTGTGGGACACTCTTGTGGGACACTCTTGTAGGACACTCTTGTGGGATACTCCTGTAGGACACTTTTAAGGGACACTCTTGTGAGACACTCTAGTGGGACACTGTTGCGGGACACTCTTGTGGGACACTCTTATAGGACACTCTTGTGGGACACTCTTGTGGGACACTCTTGTAGGACACTCTTGTAGGACACTCTTGTGGGTCACTCACACGCACGATCTCCGCAGAGGGTTGCGCGCGCATGAGACAAATCGCACTCTCGCCTGCATTTCGCACACTCGACACGCGCGATCTCCGCAGAGGGTTGCGCGTCAAGTCTCCAAAACGAGCGTTTCGTACGAGGCTTCCTCAAAAACTCACACGTCAAAGTCAGCAAAACGAGCGTTTCGTACGAGACTTCCTCCAAAAGTCAAGCGGAAACACCCATCAAAGCACACACATCACGCAGCCCTGCCAAGCAGTTTCGCGATTCCAGCCCCTCCAAACAACATCCGCTCACACGCCAATCCCAATGTGACAGCGACATTCACCTCTACCACAACTCACAACCTCACGATTCCCTGCGCCTGCCACGAATCTTTCCCCATCCACACGTCTGACGCGCACAAAGTACTGCGCCTGCCACGAAATGTCACCTCCCTCACACCTCGCAGCCTCACGATTCCCTGCGCCTGCCACGAGAATCGCACTTCCACGCTTCAAAACCCGCACGAAGTCCTGCGCCTGCCACGAAAAGTGACAATATCATCGCATGTGAGCTTCAACAAAATTTGCACCACACCACACGTTTGGAATGATTTCGACCCGTTCAGAGCACACTCCCATCCATCAAAATCGCCATTTCAGCTGAGACTTGTCACGAAAACCGAGCTTCGATGCCACACCCTCAAACGCAAATCCCAATGGCACGGCCACATCCAACACCCCAAAAACACGACTCTCCAAACGCTAATCCCAATGGAACTGCGCGGCAATCTGCGGATCTCACAAAACGCTGCGCCTGTGCAGCGAAATGCATCACGTTTCTTGCGCGACATGTCGTTGTCATGCAAATCACAATGGAATAGCGTCGCAAACTGACACGTGACACATCCATGCAAAGTCACTTGCAAAAGCTTCCCCCAATGGCAGCAAATTTGAGACGCGACGACGACGAGAGACGACGAGAGACGACGACAAACGACGAGAGACGACGACAGACGACGACAGACGACGAGAGACGACGACATGACGCAAGCCACGCGAACACAGCTCCAACCCCCAGACCCCCAACTATAAACGGGAACCCTTCGCTACGCATTCGGGAAAAACAAAGAGAAACAAGAGCAAAAAATAGAAAGAACAATGAGGGGTGGGGTGCCCCCTGGGCTACCCCCTCGCTATAAAATTCCAATGCACGGAAGGCTTCCGACTGAATTATTTGAGGGGTGGGGTACCCCTGGGCCACCCCCCCTCGCAGCAAAATCGGGTGCTCTCGGCACCCAACAATATTCCTCTAAGACCAGATTAGACTATTTCCTAACTAATAGTTAGAACAGCTTTTCTAGATTATTTTCTAACTATTAGTCTATTTTAAATAGACCTGAATTTAGACTGAGAAATAGTCTATTTTGAAACATAACCTTGAGGTTATTCTATAGAATAACATCAGGAAATACAAACTATATACCTAAACTTGTGGTGTTATATTGTGAAAAAACAAACGTGCATGTTACTTATCATAGGCCATGTACTGTTACTGAGGCCATGTGCATGTTCTGAGTTGTGTTGGTGAATTGCATTTGCATCGGACAACCTCTTGTATTTTCTTGTCTTAGACAAGTCCCTCTTTGCTGCTACTGTTGCATCGCCTTTACCACTTTCACCAGCATCATCTGATTCTGACTCATCACCTTTGTGGTCTTCCTTCAGCTTCCACTTCTGCACTTTGTCTGAAAAGCTGTCCTTTTCATGCTTTTTTGGAACTGCTTTGGGCTTACTCTTGGCTTTTGCCTTCTGTTCCTTCTCCTTCTTCTTCTCTATGGTTGGCTTCGCCTTTGGCTGTGGTGC